GACAACTGAAATATGAATGCTGGAATTCAAAAAGTTCCATTTTTTTCGGTTCATTTTTGATGATTCGGTTGCATGAATTTGGCACAGACGATCAAGGATCAAAAGTCGGCTAGAAGAGAGTTACTGTTTTCGTTCCGGTGTTTATTGAATTTTATATGTTTCGAGGAAATGCGTGTATGATGCCGGGCTATAACGTCAATTTTGTGGGTGTTGATGAATCTTTGCGACCCTCCAAGTCATAAGAAGACAAAAAAATATAAAAATAAAACGGGCAGGAAGCATAACCGTACAGAAAGACAAAAAAAAGTGTACACAACAAAACACATCCAATATTTCAAGCGTTAACTGTGATTGTTTCTAGTATATTAGTGCGCAAGTCAGTGACGATGTAGCTGATACTTTTTGTGATGTTCCTTAATGTTTTTTGCTGCGTTGTTGGTATCTTTTTTGCGTTGTTGCTTTGGACCATGCTGATGGTATGGAAGATGTGGCCTTTAGTTTTCTCTTATTTTCCGAGAATGAGAGAGAGCGCTCGGAAATGCGGTTAGAAGGTACATCAAGACGGACACAAAATAAAATGGAAGCAGAAACAAAAACTAAGCGTTCGTTTTTCGCTGTTGATACCGCTCTGACTGTGAGTATATGTTTGTATTACATGCTGTTCCGAGGAATCTAAACCAAGCCGCCATTATATCGTACATTCCGAGTGTGGGAATTGACTTACAGCTCGCATTTTTAGTTGCTTCTGTCATGTTCACCACCACCGTTTTTACCGTCACACAAACTGCATTGTGTGTACTCATCTTTTTTCTTGCTACTCGTACCGCTGCCATCCTTTATTTCGATTTAGTTTCTCTTTCCATTTTTTCTCTGTTTTGCGTTGTGTTGCGTTCTGTGATGCTCTTTTCTATCTTTTTTATTAGATATTACTATTTGAATATGTTTGCTGATTTCATAACGCCACGCGAGCTCGACCGGTATTTCGTTCGCCTTTTTATGCACATGTCATGTATTATTTATGTATAACGAATATGCTTTGTGCCATTAAACCAGCCGGAATACTTTTGTATCTAATAAATATTTGAGAATAGCGGTATAAAACACATTTTGATCCACAATGGGGTAATAACACAATAGTTTCACATACATAATAAGTCCATGTTTGCGTTAAATGTATCTTTTTTTGTCAGAATGACGCGCTGGGTCGTGAAGTGGAATGTTTGACGTGGGCTGCAGCATAATTCGAGCCGAGGCAGGAACCATGCGATGTACATTTAGTTTTGCAATAGAAAATGTTGGAGAAGATAAGAAGTGATATAGTTGCTACCTGTCAAACCGAGACAAAGCGAAAACCCAAGCAACCATTAACTTGTGCGATCTTGCATCCATTGTTTGTACGAAATGGATGTGTAACCGAACCAAATGAACACGGCACTGATGCATTCTGTGACAATTATCTTCACTCGAGTTTTGCCAAATATTCCATTATACATAAATTAGTACGTTCCAAAGCATTCAAAGGACGGATTTTTCAAAGACGTTTATGAAATTGTCTGGTTTTATCAGTATTTTGTCTGTAATGTTTATTTAACTTCAAATATAATACCAATGACAAAAAAAATTACTTTCTTGCTCAAGCTCTCTCTCTCTCTCTCTCTCTCTCTCTCTCTCTCTCTCTCTC